TCTTTTTTCTTTTTAGTTCAACAACTGTGGAGTTGAGACTTGAACTAATGAGTTTTTGGTTGAGGATGTATGCCTTATAGCTCAGCTTGGCAGCAAGCATAACTAGTTAGTAATGTCAAAAAGTATACTGGAGTTATTATATGTCGATTTTTCATGATAGAAAATTATTCTAGTAACTAAGTTTGATGGTTTCATTTTTTTCATTGTCAGAAGTTGAACAGACTCATACTAAGGCGAAGGGAGGCGATTCAGTAATTATTCACGTTTGTGAAGAGTTAATACCTTCTCTTTCTGAGAGGTATGATGATTTAATGGTTTCTGTTCTTGTATTTGGTAGAAAGTACTAGTGTATTGACATGCCACTTTGTATATATGCTTTACTAGCCTGATTATGAACCAGTGACCTATTATCAAAATTTGTACATGAATATAATCATGAGTAAACAGGATCTGAAACTTATTTGTATGCATGATCACATTGGCAGTGGAACAAAGAGACTTCAACTGCTGCTGGGATTGTGATTCTCCAGGGATTTTGGCTGGTCTGAATTAGCAGTTGATCTCTGGGCAGCCCAACAACAGCGGAGCAACCAGAATTGAATCACTTGAATTCACCTTGGGGAAAAATGAAGAAGTTTGTATTGCGTTTGAGGACGTTCATACAAGGCATTTTTGGCGACACTATGTAAGATATACATACATACATATTTATATATATATATATATATATATATATATAACTCACCTTAAGAAATAGTAAATTCATCAGAAGCTAGAGAACAAAAAGTTAACCTGTATAGGCTAGTTAATTTCTTCTGCATAATGTATATTTATTGGGACTTTTTCAATCTTTTTCAGAAGCGTACATGCATCCATTATGACCCCAGAAAACACAGAACTGCTTCAGAAGGAAGTTTATGCTTATTCTTACTCTGAAGAAGATAAAGGTGAGATTCTAATTGACCAAATTCTTCCTGATTGGACCTGATCGAGGTTTAAAATATAGATGTTGAAAGAAATGTCGATGCCTCAGTTTTTTTTGATAATATCTATGGAAATAGTAGATGGGAATGTTGATTCACCCTTTATGTCGACATTGAATCTATTGACACACGTTATATGTTGCCGGAAATTTAATACCATGCTCTTCGTAACTACCTGTTTGTTTTATTCTTCCTGTCTCACTGTTGCAGAGTTTAAGCTTCCAAAACTGTTGAGTTCACTGGTGATGAGGCTACGAAACTGAATTTAAAATTGCTGATCAGGTCTCTGAGCTTATCACGAGGCAAAGATGTGATAGAAATTAGGTGACATTGTATCGTCTTGATCTGTTCATATTGCAAAGCGCAAAGTGTTAGATGAATGGCTCTGATACCATGTTAGATGAACACGACTCTCCACAATGGAATGATATTGTCCACTTCACAATTGCACTCTTGATGGCAGCGGACTTGCGATTGTGCGACACTCACTTTCCAACGACAAGTGAGCTAAGCCAATTCGTTCTTACGTGCCTACAGCCAAGCGACATATGCTCGAGCCTCTGGCCTCGGTTTAAGAAGTTTTAGAAAATGAGAGCAGAGAGAGATTTTGAAAGAGACGGATATATAAGCAAGAGAGTAACAACAACGGCTCACAGTATATAACTATTGGTAGAGGATATGACTGAGCATAAGCTCTCGTGGCTTTGCTTTGGGCTTCCCAAAAGGCCTCATACCAATGGAGTTTAGTATTCCTCACTTATAAACCCATCATCATTTCCTAAATTAACCGATGTGGGACTTTCATCCTCCAATACAAAGTCGAAGTGGCTAGACAAATTTTCATTGGCAATGTTCTTAGGTAGTAGCCCTGTTTAAACAGAGGGAAATTATTGATTCTTATTAACGCACGTTGGTCCTTGGTTTCTCACAAAGGCTTGTTTCTTGTTGTAGGCTGTGGCTTTGGCTCAATAACGTGGAAAGGTTGGAAATAGCTATAAGGAAGGCCATTTCAGGGCAAAATAATAGCTTTATGAAAATCTATCTCAAGCAATTTGCTTCCTATCTTTTTGAAGGGCTGCAAGGTACTAGTTTTTTTTTTTTTTTTTTTTTTTTTTTTTTTTTTTTTTTTTTTTTTTTTTTTTTTTTTTTTT